TTTCTCCATCAGCTTTTAAATAATTCATTGTGATTTGGTTTTTTTGTTTGTTTATTTTGTTGTGTGGGGTTTTTTCCTATGTGTTAACAAAGAACACCTAACCAGTGCGATCTTAAAAAAGAATTGAACCCTTGATAACACTGAAAAATAATGAAACTTTTAAATCCTCCAGAATGTGAAAGACTGCTCAGGGATTATAACTAATGCATTTTATTCTTATGACTTGCTGATTCCACCGACAGCTGCCTTAGGGGTGCAGTTCTAATCAATGACTTTATCCACTTGGCAATCTATACCTCAGAAACACAAATCGGAGAAAACCATCAATGTGTAAAAGAGACCTATAAATCAGAATGTCAGGTGGGCCTAGTTCCATTTTAATAACTAGTATTTAGAGATTCTTGGATAAAACATTTCATGGACACAAATTTACGATCCTCATATCCCTCCGGATGCCACCACATCCCTGTGAGCATGACAGCCTTTGTTATTTTTTTCTAACAATGGCGATGATAATGTAGTGACCCCAGAGCAAACCACCGGCTTCTCCTTATTCAAACTTTTAAATGACTTACTGTAGGCTTCCTTTTCTAATGCTAGTCAGTCTCCTCTCTCTCCTTTAAAGTGTGCATATTTATGTATGTGAAAAGATTTGCTTCCAATGCTTTCCAACCCAAGAAACACCCAACGCTTGGGCAAGTTTCTGTGTATTGATATCTACATGCACAACGGGGACTATCAGTTCACAGGAATCAAAGTAAACAGCAAACAAGCTGAAGTGCCACTTCTCATTCCTTTCTTCTTTTACGCTGCAAGCATATTACTCATACATGTTATATGCTTGAAGTGTGCGCTGTTTAATTCTCCCTTCCTTTGAAAAACTCCTCAGGGTCCTTGTGAAAGGTCAGAATCAGGAGCAGCTGTATCAGTGGAGGTTCAATACCTTTTTGAAAATAAATTTGCAAGACATATAGTCAACTGCTTCTGGGTGCCTCAATTGGGGACCACTGCCCGAGGAAACAGGCCCACAGGAGAATCTTAATGCCATGGCAAGGAGTCACAAATCCTAAATTGACATTTGGGGAACTAGCATTAATAACAGAACTGAGGATGTCCCTTGAAAGAGCCATCAGGAATCTGGAAGAGAAAGTAGATCAAAAGCATTAAATAGGAAGGTGAAGGTAGGAGTGTCGCCTCCCCTGTAGGCAGATGAAACATCAGTTGTGTCCATCAGGTGTGTGTGAGAGAACTGAACAAGAATATGTGTACACGCGTGACTGGATACTGGGGGCCAGTGAAGTTGAAATTGAATGTCCATCACCATTAGAGCGACTTCATAGTGATAAAGCAAATTTTACTAAAGAATAGAAATTTTTAAAGAATGTCAGTATCTTTCTGCTTTTAAACAAACATTTTGGAAAAGTAGATTTACACGTGCTTGGACAGTCACAAATATCCTATGTGAAAAGAAGAGGTTTACCTTTAGAATGGATGCTATAAGAAGCCAAAAAATGAACACTATCCAGTACAAACAACACAAAATGACACAGGAGTAATTAAAAGGGCAGCTGAAATATAGCAGTTAGCCAAGAAAATGTATCTCACTTGTTTCCAGTTGTATAAAGACACATCCAACTTATTGGAGATTATCTCTGTTCCTGCCGGGTTTATTTTCATAGTAGGCATCAAAGAGCTCTGGTATAAATTTCCCTGACATTGGACACAAGAGTTCTATTGGGGTTCCCAGCTTCCCTCAGTCACCCCCATGTATGCATTAGGTATCTACCTAAGACTTGATTCACCCAAGAATGTACTTTTCTCAAATCTGTCTTTTGAGGACACAAAATGAGAGAGGCGGAAGGGTCTGAGACTCACAGTAATGATGCTTTTTTAATAATAAAATCCACAATTAAAAAATTATGTTATTGCTTTAATTTTTTTGTTTGTTTAATTCTCTTAGAAGTATAGTTGAAGTGTTTGCCTTTTGTTGATGTTGAAGAAAGCAAAATTGTCAGGGTAATCTTTTGATTAACCCAAGAGACTCTACTATACAAAATGTACCTCTTCTCTGATAACCACAGCTTATTTTCACAGTTTTTCATCTAAATTTCTGCCTACTTCACTGAGGGATTTTCATAACATTTCGCGAGGCTCTTGGTTTCTTCCTTTCCTTCAAGCCACACCCAACAAACCTTCCCAACCCTCTTGTCAAACCCCAGAAGTAATTTTCCTTCTGGGCTAAGCATCACAGCCCTAGGTCTTCCTGCAGTCTGCTCCTCTTTTAGTAACACTCACCACTTGAGAATAAAATCCTTTTGAAAATGGAAGCCACATGCCCCGTAGGCCTTAGATTCTCCACATTTCCCAGTGGCAGTGGCAGTCAGCAGAGATCCTTGTACACATAGAGCTAAGCCCATTCTTTTGTAGTCTTCACACCTACCCAACAGAGGGGCCGTCTCCACTGCAGCCACCCTCCAGGATTTCTTAGAAAGCCACCTTACCCAAGATGCACTCATTCATCAAGATGCTATTGAGCTACTAGGAACTATTCTAGTCTCTGAGACATAGCAGTGAGCAAGAGAAAAAAATCCTCTTCCTCCTGGGGAGCACATGCGGTGAGATAGAGGCACCCTCAACCTAAAGCATGGGAAAGTGTTCTCTGTAAGAGGCCATGTCATAATTGACAGTGGGACCCCCAGACTCCTTTCAAGTCTTTACTTTTTCTTTTATACTGAGTCTTACACCTCCTGTGACATTCAAATTGGTAGGGTGTAGAGAGAGCTTTGGGAAACAGAATCTGTGATTTCTTCACTTGCTTTTTACCTCTACCCTAGACTTTATCCTTTGTTTCTTAGCAATGTATGGAAAGTACTCTGGTAGGAGTAAGTGTGTACCACAGTTATACCACTCAGTGGTTAATAAGGAGAGGGATGTTTAATTTCTTTTATATCAAAACTTTGTCCATTGTGTCTTTGTATCAGGAAGTTGGAAAAGACACATTCTTGGATCATGTTTTCAGTCATGACTTCACTTTTACTGACTTCTTGGTCATTCATATTTGCAAAACAGGAAGTGAAGTTATTCTCATTAGCATGAACTTTGCATGAAGTTTAGATTCCACATAGACTTTTAAGCTCACCACATCTAATTCTTTTTCAAAATCCCTAAGTGCAGACGCAAACTGAAAATTTGCTGGGCAGCCCGTGATCAGGTAACAAAGAGACTGTGGGTGAAGCTGGGGTGAAATAGACCATGGAGCCTGCTCCATCTCAGCATTCTCACAGAACCTCTAGTGACGCTGGGAGTACAGTTTGAAAGCTGCTAATCTAGGTCAAAGCCTCTTGTTCATATTTGGAAGAAACTGAGACCCAAGGAGATTAACTTATTTGCTGACAGCCACACAGACATTTAGCAGTACAGCAAGGATAGACGCAGGCCTCCTGTCACTGGCTCTTCCTACGATGCCATTTCTTCCAATGAAAACATGAAGGCACTTTGCAAACTGGCTCTCATTTTTCAATATTCAAAGAAATATAAAAATAAAAGGTATGCAGATGCTGTGTGACCTGAGTCTCTGAATTCAAGTTGGCTTACTTAGTAATACTGGAGATGTTGCCAAACGGGTGGGTTCTTGTGTCCAAGCGATTGAGGAAACCCACACACAGGACTGAATTAGCAATCTCAGGTTTACTGCAAGAGAGACTCCTGACAGCAGAAGGGGGTCGAGAGGAGGAGCCCAGAGTTAGGGTGCTGGGTTCCATTTTATAAGGCTTCTGGGGACCCCCCCACCCCTCTCAAAAGCTCCTGAGAGCTTTTACCTTTTGGGGAGTACTTTTTCATTGCCCACTACCTCTCCACTGCCCTACTTAGTCTCCTCGCCCCCTTTTGTCACCCAGAGGTATGAAGCCACAACAAGCTACTGTGTGCCTCTATATACCTCTTCTGGTTACCAGCCTCTGCCTGTCAGCTTTCTGCTCCCTGAAGCACCCTGCCTGTCTGCTGTCTTACAACCAGCCCTTGCCAGCCAGCTTGCAGCCAGCCCTTGCCAGCCAGCTAGCTCCCTACGACCTTAGAGAGCCATCTCCCTTGCACTCTAGGCAAGTCTCAGGCGATGTTCCAGCACACTGCAAGGGCACTCTTACCCGTGTACCTAGAAACTGGAGGAAGAGATGTGCAGGAAATAGTGAGGGGGGTTGGGCAGACTCTCAAGCTTCCGTCCTCACGCCTAGCTCTACGTGTGGGTGAAGTACTCTCGTTCAAGGAAGCCCTGAGGCTTGATAAAAAATTATGCCTGGCAGCCTGACTCCTCATTACTCTAAACTGGCTGCAGTATCCTCCTTCCTTATGAATGCCCACAAAGGATATCCTAAGCTACAAGGCTTCCTGAGTGGGTACCCAGTAAGGCTGACCCTTGCTTCTCTCTTACTCTAAAATTATGTCATCAGATAAATTCATGTGCACCTTTCAACCAAGGTTGACCACACTTTTATGTCTGACTTCTCTTTGAGCAGGGAACCTGATTAAAGCTTTACACGGGCCTGACAAGTGAAGAAACCCCAGTTTCTCCCCTGCCCCATCTTTTTTCTAACTTGACCTCCAGGGTTTTTGCAGTGGGGTTTTGGTAGGAACAGAGCTCTCTGACCTCGGAGGGTCACAAAGAGGGTGCCTCTGGGTTCACAGTAACTTACTTTAACTCCTTTATCTGGAGCATTTTCCGGTCTATCTGAGTCACAGTCCACTTCCCCCCTGCCTGTCACTGATAGAGCTTTTGCTGCTGCCTTCAGAATCTTCCCAATAGGCAGCCCTTGGCCATCTCCAGCCTAGGAGGAATGGCTTGACAAGATTAGAATTAACTCTAAACACTCTAGAAAACTGCAGCCACAAACATTTGGTTTCTACCCTCCCCTTATGTCTACAGCACACACAGGCAAATTACAGCACTTTAGCACTGTTTGTGAAATGTGTTATTAACATGAAATCTACATTGTCCATCTTTTTAGGAAGAAAATGAGATCCCTGCCAGCGTGTTTGTGAAAGAGCCAGTTTCCAGCCTAGCTGAAGGGAAAGAGGAGACTGCGGATGAAAACAAGTCCCTGGAGGAAGGCTTGCAAACAGTGGACCTCTCCTCTGATGATGAATTGCCCCCTGATGAGGAGGCCCTGGAAGACAGCGCAGAGGAAAAGATGGAAGAAAGTAGGGCAGAGAAAATAAAAAGATCCAGCCTCCGAAAAGTGGATAGCCTCAAGAAAGCATTTTCTCGCCAGAATATCGAGAAAAAGATGAACAAACTGGGAACAAAGATCGTATCTGTAGAGAGAAGAGAGAAGATTAAGAAATCACTCACTTCCAATCACCAGAAAATAATTTCAGGGAAAAGCTCCCCTTTCAAAGTTTCTCCTCTCTCTTTCGGCCGAAAGAAAGTCCGAGAAGGAGAAAGCCCTGCAGAAAATGAGACCAAGTCAGAAGACATGGCCGGCGGCGAGCAGACACCCAACGACCAGGAGGAGCGCGCCTTTGCGGAGGGGTTGTCCGAGGCCGCCGGGGAAGACAAGCGTGCAGAGGGGGATGCGGGGTGGGGGCCCTCCAGAGGGAGTAACTCTGCCATGGACAGCAACATCAACTTGACTATTGTGGAAGATGAAGAAGAGGAGTCGATGGTCTTGGACCAGGCACAGAAGGTGAGCTATGAGGGCGGCTACACGCTGACCTCCGAGGAGGCGGAGCGGTCGGACCAGGAGCCGGTGCAGCCCGCTGTGCTCCAGGTGGACCAGACCGCCTGAACCCCGCGCCCTGCGCCCGCCTGTGCGCTCCGTGAAGTGGGAACCGGAGCCGGGAAGCCAGCTCCTGCGCATCTGCTACCTGCTCCTTCCTGTGTGAGTGTCCAGGCAGTCCAGGCAGTAGTTACTTACTGCATAGCAGCAGCGTACGTGTGACCAAGATGTATCATGAAGGCAACTTGTCAGGGGCTCCGCTTCCAATTTGCCCTCAGGTTTTCTGTCTGTAGAATTAATTGCTCCATGATTGCGCAGAAGACATGGAGCAGTTATGAGAACGTGATCCATTTGGCTTAGAAAACCAGAGGCTCCCTAAGATGCTAGTCATGAAATGTGATGCATTTTTTTGTCATTCCATAAGCTTGCTGAATAGTGTACCAGTAATATGTTGAATTTCCACAGAACTCGGAGTCTAAAGTATTCTTCAAGTGTATGATAGATAATATACATGCATATTTAAGCTAGAGACTGAAGTACTTTAAGGAAACATTTTTTGAAAGGTAGAAGAGAAGCTCAGTTGGTTATTGACTTAATATTGAAAGACTGAAAATGAGCTAATGAAGTAGATTGTATAAAGTCGGGAATATTAGAAAAAGAAAACTAATATTAGGAAAATAAGAGACATAGGAAATAAAGAATGTCAAAGAGAATAAAGACAAAGAAAGAAAACAGTATGTGCTTAAAAATATTTACCATATTAGCTCAACCATTTCACTCCTTAATGTTATATCTTCGTATTTTTATTTTTTAATGTTTTCAAACAATACCAAAAACACCATAGTGTGTTAACAGTTTTTTTTTCCTTAATAAGTAAGATATGCTACAAATATTTGAGACAATTCAAAAGAATGTTATCTTGTTAACCTTGGAATGAACATAAATTTTCAAAATTAATATGCACCACATTTTGTAAGAAGTTGGATCATACTGTTCTTTAAGGTAGTATTTTCTAAATTTGAGGTAATGCTCACATTCCAAATGATGTAATGTAGGTTTATGATGATGTTAAAATCAATGGGTTTGGGAAGAGGATTCTGGTCTTCCTTTTTGTACATAATGGTAATTTCATTCCAGCCATATATTGTATTTACATATTAATTTCACAAATTATTAATATGTTTCCTCTTAAAGCATGCTAGTGTTTATATGTGCACATTTATTCAGACAGGGTAATTTTTACTACTGCCCAATATTATTAAAATATTGCTTTATGTGTTTTTAATTGCAGAATGCTAATCTTTGGATATTAAATTATAGTTAAAAGATAGTTGTACCAGGGAGCAAATTCCCTACCTATACTAAGTACCACTATGAGTAATGTTACAAATACAGGTAACCTAAGACAATATTAACGAATTATGCTTTCTCTTATAAAAGTGATAGAATTCACAAATGTACTGATGACATTACCTATGCCCTTCTTTTGCAATAATGTACCAAATATTGGGTTGTTGAACTAACACTGGCTATGTTAAAGACTAAATAAACCAAAAATAAAAAGAATATAACCATGTCAGTTTTTTGGCAGAACAATTTTAGAAGCAGAAAGAATTGATTTTTAAACTCTCCTTCAAATGTAACCATAATGGTGATTGTTTCACTCTTGATTTCCCCTGTTAACTCTGCTTTCTTTTTTCCCTGATCTCATTTAGAAATCCAAGTCTCATTCTCCAAGTTTAACTTTCTTGACATCACCTTGCCAACTTGGAGATCATCTGAATTTATTGCAGCAGTTTGATGAATTTGATCGTTCCATCTGCATTTTTATTGTTTTATACCAGACCTTATAATGCCTTAAATAGCCCTGCAAACATGAATGTATTGAACTGTATGTTCAGTTTATTCACAGAGATAAACTTTTGTCTTCTGGAGTGCCACATACTTGGTAGAAGACTTAATTTCACTCCAGGCCCTAATCGTGTCTGTTTATGAAGTTGCTGTCTCTGCGTGCAGCTAAGGAATTGGAGGATCCAATGCAAAGAGTTGGGGGACCCAGGGCTAATGTAATGTTTACATTTCCTTTTCAAAAGTATTTTCTTTCATTTCTTCCTATAAACTATCTGCATGTCTTTGTAAAACTACACTCAAGCATCTCTTTTAGATTTTACTGACAATCACATTTATTCTGTGTTTCACATTTGAAGCATTAAAATCCCAAATAATAAAACAGAATCAGGCCAGATAGTTGTTGGGAGATACAGACTGAAGGATTAGAGAGAGCAACAGTGGTGGAAATGGAAGAAATTTATTCTGTATTGTTGAATTATTTGCATATTGGTGAAAGTGCAAAGTACACAACTTAGATATGTCTTCTCCTCCCCAGCACCCCCACCACCACCCCATCCAATAACCCATTCCTAACTTTATGTGCCTAGAGCTCAAGAACTGGATTAGTTTTCCCCCAAGGACTGGTTATACATTAATCAGCACTAAGATCCATATCTTAGAAACATAATTCAAGAGTAAGAAGTGTCTATTATATGGATCACAAATCTTGCAGAAATATAGCCAGAATGTCATTTTTCTCCACAAGATTTTATTTTTTAAATATATAGACATACATATTTCAACAGAACTATTTTCCTCTTTCCACTTAGGGATCTAGCATATGTTTGAATTTCTTTTTTATACATGAAAATAAAAGGCTCATGCTTAGACCAGTCCCACATAAAACAAAGATTTTTCACATTGATTGAATGATGAAAGCCCAAACTCTCCCTCCTTTTACCAATGCTCATGCAGAAGAGCGAGTTTCAGTGTGTTTCAATCCAATATTAGGAAACCAGAAGCTCCTTTGACAGCGCCAAGCTGCCAGTGTAAGTAAAGGTTAAAATGAAAGTCATTTCCTGCATTAAGACACGAATGCCCAGCCCCAGTTAATTCTTGCTTGAAAGTTTGTTTACTGCCCTACAGCCCAAGTCTAAGTGATTTTATATTAGAGATGGGGACTGTGAGGAATTGAGGTAACAGGCAGCAATCATTATTAACAGTTCCATAGCAACCACAAGTTGTTTCCTAAAAACCGAGACTCAGACACTGCAAAACAAGCTTCAGATTAAACTGGCATGGTGACCTTTGCATTCTGCTAGATTTGGGTGTTGAGATAAAGACTTAAGCTGGGATTCATTCCTAAAGGGAACGCTCAGTAACTCACATTATGAAAGACACATAATTCTTATTTTTGATTTTAACCATTGCGTTATCCTGTAGCATTTGAAACTCTCAAATTATTTTTAACTTTCTACACATACTGTCCCAATTCAGATGCCACCAGGGTGATGGTCATACGTTTAAAGACTCGGCCCTGTAAAGCAGTTCATTATGTATTTATTGAGGTATGCAACCATTTGTCCCTCCCGTTGGCTAAACCCCCTCGTGCCCAAAGTAAGATACAAGCAAGGGAGAGAGGGAACCAACATTTCTGATAGTTCACTTTATGCCAGCTGGACATGTGAACAGCTGGGATACTATGTATCTGCCACTTGCTTGATCTTCTTTAATCAAATCTCATTTAATCAAATAAATATGACTAGGAAGCAAATGTTTTTAATCTCCATTTTTGAGACTTTTGAAGTTAGTTTACTACAACTAGTAAGATGGGGGGAGGCAGGGTTTTTCTCCACTGTAAGTTCTCACTCTTCTTATAATTTCTCCTTTGAAAGCCTCAGAGATAAGAGACTTACCCAAGGACACAAAACTAATATCAGTCAGTGTTCAAGCCCAGTCTGAAATCCATGCTATTGCCAGACTCCTAATTATTACACCAACTGTGCTTAATTATGAATCTCTTTTCAGCTCTCAGATGGTATAGTATTAACTCCATTTATCGCCCCTTATACAGCATTGCATACAGCTGCACTTTGTAAATGATTTTGATGATTTTCACACCAATGCTAAGGAAAAACAGCTCACAGTTCTTGGGGAGCCACAGAGAGACTATTATTTAGATCTGCTGAGGCCACAGAGGGGCTCCTAAGCTCCTTGGCATCGTCCATTGTCAGTAGCTGCAGGGTTCACTTTGGGGCACGATTTAATAAGGGCAAGCTGTCAACAGAGATAGATACTGGATTCAGCTAATTCAAAGATGGCACAAGAAGTCTGTCTGAAATTCTTTAAGGAGTCATTTCCCAGTGTCACACTAGAGAAATCACTATATCCTGCCTGGAAAGAAAAAAAAAAACAAAGGGCAAATTACCATGAGGGAGGGGCGGACAGAGTGTGGCGTTTCAGGAAGTAGGATGAACCTTAAGAATATGGAGAGGAGACTAGGCTTTGAACTTAATTCCTCTTAAAATCATCCCGATGTGTGCTCAGGGAGAAACAGCGCTAGGTCAAGCAAATGGTAGTGTCTCCATTTCTGTGGGCAAACAATCAAAGTAAAAAACCCCTGTAGGCCAGCCTCATTCATCAGGATGAACGCTGCAGGCAGTGTCTTCCAACGGCTTTGGCTGTGATCACAAACTCAAATCCCTAAAAGGGTCACATATGAGGAAAATGGTCCCAGGAGGTGGCAGCAACTGTGGCAAGTTGTCAAATGTTGACCAGTTCCTTTCTGATGGGGCACCCTTATAATTCACGCACCCGGTGGCAGTGCCTCTTTCTAAATTCTAAAAGGGATGGTACATTCTAGATGCCAACTTGGATTGTGGTAAACAGGCCGCTCCAGTAGCCATGTTGAAAATCAGTCCCCAATATTGCCAAAACTTCAACTTCTTTTAAAAAGGGCCAAAATTAAGATTTCTCTTTACATGAAAATCTTGTGGCTTTTAACTTTTGGCAACTAGCTCAAATCATTTTAAATACTGTGCAAGCCACTCATAACCCTTCAATCTGGAGGCAGGCTCAGCACAGACCAGGAGTTTCTGACTCTGGTCTGTAGAGATGATGGCTCTTGGGTTCTCCTTCCCCTCCCTGAGGCATAGATACTAGAATAGAATGCTAAGAACAAGATTGGATATGTCTTGAGAAAAAGCACTAAACCCTTAGAGAAATATGGAATGCAAAAATAGCCTTGCTAAAATTTGTAAGAAAATTTCTCTTGTCCCTTATTGAATTTGTGCAATGATTTCTGTTAATGCTGTATCATAAATGCACCAAGGGGACAGTTGTCAATCACATTGAAAGGTGGCTATATGTTCTCTAACAGGAAAACACCAATTCTTGTTGTAAGTATTGTTAGTTCCTGTGGGTTACCTGCAGAGCCCCTGGAAGTCATAGGTATTTTTGATAAACCGAGCATATGATGTGACTATTCCATTTCTATGTTCCAGTTGAAAAATATCTACTCTCAATAACCTGGAGGTCCTGCAGATGACAAAAAGCAAGTTCTGCATTCTGCTGTGCCATATATCACAGCAAAATTGCCAGCCAACACTCCAATTTTTCAACATTTTATTGTTAGTAATGAGGTACTAAAAGGAAAGAACATAGCACAATTCTTTGGATGCTAAATTGAGCCTTCAGAGCTCAGAGTTGGGGGGGAAATTGATATAGATTTAGCACAATGGGGCAAGATGTCCTTTGCTAAAAAGAAACTTCTCCAAGGTTCATTGTATGTTAATTGTCTTCCGAACCATACTGACAGGCAGAAAAAGGCAGTGTATTCTGGTAAATGTGCTCCTTTCTGAAAAATCAGATTATATAAGGACTTTAAATCAACAATTTTAAATCCTTATATAACAAAAAAAAGAAGCCCCGTTACCTCCCAGGATGAATGGAGAACAGCAATGTCTTAGTTTATGGGATTGCTCCTGAAATTACAAAAGAAAGGAAGACTGATGTATATTGGGTGTAATTTCATTATAATCTTTAGTTTTCTCTCTTTTTCTTTCTGCCATCTCTCTTTATTTTCAGAGACCAAAAAGACCCTTCCAATTACCTTATAGGTAGCCTTTTCAGAGATTAAATAAAAGAAGTAAGGCCTGCCTGAATTACCCAATAACCACGGAGATTTTGATCTTCAAGAAACATTTCCCCAGTGACCTGTTTACTAATAATTATTACATTTATTGGCTCTCTCTGTGTGCCGGGTTCTGTGTTGGACCCATTAAATAGAGGAATGAGAGAAGAAATTGTCCTTTAGAAACTATCTGGTGAGGCAGGGGAAAACTCTGAGAATCCCCTTGTAAAGGCAGGAATGGACAGTGTGTAGGTTTTCTGATCCAGCAGACTGAGGTAAAGGATGAGAGAGTCCTGGAGCCCTTGGTGGCTTTTGTAGGCTTTTATTGGGATTTACCAGGTATGTGGCAGGTAGGGGTGCTGAGGGGGCCGGGAGGCTGGCAGGCCTCCCAGCCCCCAGCAAGTCTCCACTCTATCTGGGCTCTCTGGCCTTCTCTGGTGGCCATTTCTTCTCTCTGTTTCTCTGCTCTCCTGCTTCTCTTCTTGGCTTCTGCTGGCATCCCCATGATGCCACCCTTAAAAGCCCAGTCTTAGCCCGGGTGAATCCCATCTACATATGTCCACACCCTATTCCAGGTGCCCGCCATCAGGCATGCATTCAGGACCGCAGGGTTCCGTCATCTATCCTAGTGGCAGGAGGGCAGAAAAGCCTGATACTTTTCCCTTACCCTACACCCCTACATAAAGAACTTGAAGGAAGAAAAGAGGGAATAAATAATCTGAGCGTTAAATAAATCTCCAGCCTTCCTTAACAAAATCCTTCGTTGTTCCCCCTTGCTTTGCTGCTCTAAGTTCAAATTCTTATGCACAGAGTTCTCAGCACATTCCCTCTCACCCCACAAAGAGAGTTTGACTGTGTGACATAAAAATGCCCAGGACAGAGGAGGAAGGAGGCTCCTCTGTGGAAGTGCAACAATAGAAAATCGCTTTCCTCTACAGAACCAAACAAAATGGTGGAAAGGAGACTCAGAGTGGAAGAAAACCTATAAAGTATTTAACATACAACAACAGCATGCACATTGATTTGTCTTAATCAACAAGTACGTTTGGGCACATGCTAGATGCCAAGACCTGTAGAGGGCGGGGCTGGGTTCCTGGTAGACAGGAGTAAACCAAACAGAACTGCTCTTCGTGCAGCCTCAGGGCACCCTGAAGGCAGTAATTGTCAGTCACTCTAGTGCCAAAAGTTTTCAAACTGGTTTTGGTTTCATTTGTTTAATTTTAGGGAATTTTCCCTCATGAAAACATCCTGCTAATTTATGGTACCAAATATTTCAGCTAGGATGAAACAAGAATGAATGAATGAATGAGCCAATAAATAAACAATGTAAATCAATGAGAAAATTTTACTTTC